AATTATGGAGAAAAAATTCTGATACAGGTATGCCTTTGCTAACAGTATATGTTGCTTTCTTTTAGATAAGAGTTTGTAGTATATTCTAAACTCGCAAAAACTTTCTAGTTCGAAGACTTTGCAAACCACAATGCTTTCGATCTGCTGGCAAAGTATCGTACTACACATCTTGTGTTTAATGATGATATACAGGTAGGTAATATTTTGTAACAACTCAAGAGCTTTCTTGTTGAAACGAAACGTTTCCTTCTGTTCTAAACGGTATTCAATGTTACACAATTAGGGAACGGCAGCTGTTGTCCTGGCTGGGCTCGTTTCAGCGTTGAAAGTACTTGGTGGAGCGTTAATCGACCAAACTTTCTTGTTCCTAGGCGCGGGAGAGGTGAGCTTGTTCATCTTTTGATGGATTTTTATCCCTCTCTAGATAGAATTATGCAATTTGGTTTAAACCTCTGTGTTTGGCATATTGAAGGCGGGAACTGGAATAGCCGAGCTTATTGCACTTGAAATTTCAAAGAAGGTACTAAATTGTCTGTCTTTTTCGTGGTTCTATTTCACTTTCTTTCGTTTCTGGATATTCTTACTGCCTTTGCCTGTGTGTGTAACTTTTGCAGTCAGGGGTTGCGATAGATGAAGCTCGAAAAAAGATTTGGCTTGTCGACTCAAAGGCACTTCTTCAATTCAGACTAGCTTCATAATAATGCATATATTTTTCTTTACCTTTCACCAGTAAAATTGTACTTGTTTGGCTTTATATCAGGGACTGATTGTGAGTTCTCGGTTAGAATCGCTTCAGCAATTCAAACAGCCTTGGGCTCACGAACACGAGCCAGCCAAGGACCTCATTGAAGCTGTCAATGTGAGTTAACGGAATGGAAAGAATTAGAACCCCCCCCCCCCCCCCCCAGGCCCCATCTTCTCTTCACTTATGTGGTTTTCAATTCTATGGTTTCAGGCAATAAAGCCGACAATTCTAATAGGAACTTCGGGAGTTGGAAGAGCATTTACCCAGGAAGTTGTGGAGACCATGGCATCACTCAACGAGGTAGTGCAGTGTCACTATTAGCTTAAACCCATTTAGTGAATAATCCCTAAGAGTAAATGTTGTGTGTAGAAACCTCTTATCTTGGCTCTATCGAACCCGACTTCACAAGCAGAGTGTACTGCAGAAGAAGCTTATACATGGAGCAAGGTAAATAAATAATGGATTTGCATTTTGTCTTTTTATGCATTACTAATATAAGTTTTGGTAATTAATCACAGGGTGCTGCAATCTTTGCTAGTGGAAGTCCATTTCACGCTGTTGAATATGAAGGCAAGAAATTTGTGCCAGGCCAGGTTGCCACTTTACCCCATAAGTAGCTTTGCCTGTCTTGTATGTTCTTCATTGCAGACTAATAATTTCTGGTTTGGTTTTTGTTCAGGCTAACAATGCATACATATTCCCGGGATTTGGATTAGGTCTGATTATGTCGGGCACAGTTCGCGTGCATGATGACATGCTTTTAGCAGCCTGTAAGTAGTTTTGCTTTGCCTCGGTCAGGTGTCATGGAAATTTCACATTAATTATAATGAACGTTTTGATTGGTGAAACAGCGTCAGCCTTGGCGGCGGAGGTGACAGATGAAAACTACGCGGAGGGGCTAATATATCCACCATTCACTAGCATCAGGAAGATATCAGCACATATTGCAGCTGATGTAGCTGCAAAGTCGTATGAACTCGGTGAGTCATTTAGTAATTGAAAGACTCACCGTTTCTGTCTTAACTAAAACTTTAATTTACTTCATCTTTGCATGCTTATTTCTCAGGTCTTGCAACCCGTCTCCCTCGTCCAAAGGATCTTGTTAAGTATGCCGAGAGCTGCATGTACACTCCAGTCTATCGTAGCTATCGCTGACCTGTGACTTCTTTATCTTTGCACTGATTTTTTTTTTTTTTTTTTTTTTTTTTTTTTTTTTGTTGAATTCATGTCCATAGATACAAATTTTTGTAGTTGTGAGGAAGTAAAATTACACTTCTATTAATAAACTTGATCCATTTGAAATGCCTTGATTTTATTTATCTGTGTTTTTCAAATCGTTCGTTAGATGATTGATGCTCACAACTTACATTAGCTACATAGCATGATGTTTTATTACTAAAACACATAAAAGTATAAAACATCACTTCACTACTTGAGGAATAACACGGCGTGTATGTACGTACATACATAACTGCAAAAGAGACGACTTCTTTGATCGCATTATATTGCTGGGCTTTGTGATCTGATCTTGGAACAAAACTAGAGAGGTTGGAGTTCTGCTGCTTCAAGTTAAGGCTTCAGAACTGATAATCTGCTTTAGTATGAAGTTGTCATCCAAGGAACTATTGTAACAGACTTCTCTGATCATTATATTATAATGACTTGTAAGCATTAAGGCTTCTTCAATAAGAGCCTTTTGGCTTCTGAATACTTGCCCATGTTGATGGGCAAACAATTATGTTTGGAAGAAGAGCATTATTCCTCTTATATAAAGGAGAGCTCCTCTTCCAAACATTTTTAATGTGAGATCATTTGTAAAGGGGAGTAGCACCCCACTATTTTTTTTTTAATTTTATTTAGTATATAATTTTATTTTATTATTATTATTATTATTATTATTATTATTATTATTATTATTATTATTATTGTAATTTCTTACCTTTATAAATAGAAATTTATTATCTTTATAAATAAAAATATTTATCATTATAGCGAAATTTAAATATTATAAAGAAAAATCTCTATCTCTCTTTCTTTCTCTCTCTATGTTCTTCTCTCTCAATTATTGTCTTTGTTTTTTACATTGGAGTTGACACGTCTGTCACTCCCACTCATCAAAAAATCCAAAAATAGTCAAGTCACAGAAGCATTCCAATAACTTAGACAATAAACCAAAGGTCTAAATCCATAAATTTGAAATCTTAATCATACACCATAACTTTCCAAATAACTTCAATGTTCACTTTAAAATGAACTGAACATAATGAGTCTTACTTATATGTTCCACAAAATTGTTTTGAGCCCTACAAACAAAAATGGCTCAGGATCAATTTTGAAGAAACTAAAGACTCCATTAATCACTAAAGAATTTATTAAATGACAGTGCATCACAAGTTAAATGTTTTTGTTCTAATAAATTCCTTAATATTGTTACAACATTTTCATAAATATGTTGCACGACCAAATATTCAATAATTTGAACTTATGAATTTATATGAACAAATATAAGATTAACACTTGTGGAATATTTTTGGACTTATTGTTTGACATACAACCCAATTTGGAATGTATGAATACAATAATTAAATCCAAAAACTTTAGTGGAGTATCTTAATGATCTTTTCTAAATGATCACTCCCACTGATTAAAACATTCTTCAGCGAAATTAATAAAATGAACTTAGTACTTACGCACTTTGCGCGAATGGAATAATGTCCAATGATTTTTTAAAATAAATATTTTAAAGTATATCAATGTAATATTATATCGGAGATGTTCATGCATAGATAAATAAATATTGAATTTGTTTATTTAAATCGGTAATTTAAAGTATACAAATGCAAGATAATATATATGAGAGATTGATTATATTGTCACTAAAATAAATGTTTGCAATTTTGGCTAGTCTAAAATCAATAATCAAAATAAATACTACTTTTACTTTAAATTTTTCTAATTCTTCTTAATTCTCTTTTGGGTAGCATTGTCATTGTCTTCATCTTCAGTACATGTCCTTTTTTTTTTATTGGTAGTGTGTCATGTGCAATTAGATTACTGGTGGTAATATAGATAGATTCATCGTGTGCAATGTTATGATGTAGGAAGCTTTAGATTTGCCTTGTTATGTATATGATGGATTTTAGTTGTACTATTAACTCTTTTATCTTACAAGCACCTATTGATATTTGGTAGTAGTAGTTTTTCACCTACATGTTTCATGTGTCGTAGGTGAGTTATGTGAAAGTATTGAACAAAATATTAATATTTTTTTTATATTTTTATAAAATACTTGGTAAATAAATATATATAACATATTTTGTATTATAACTTTGATACGTAGTTTAATTACAAGATAATGTAAAAAGAAGACAATGGACAATGTAGTGAATATAATAAATTAATAAATTTGAAGGTAATGAATCTTTGAATTGTAGAAAATAAAGATAATATAACTAATGAAAGTATATCTCTTTTAAATTTTTTATAATGAATATATTTTTTTTTAAATAAAGGCATTATAGACATGATTCTAAATTAATTAAATGCATATGTATTATTTTTTGTTGTAGCTACAAATTTATTTAATTTAATAATAGTAATAAAGTGGCATACATACTTTTCATCAACAATAATGAAATCATTGATTTTTTTTTTTTAATTTACATTCGTTGTTGAGACAAATTGTTTTGAGAGTTTGTTAATGACAATTGTTACAATTCTTGTCAATAGAGGATGATAATAAATAATTCAAAATATATAGTTACAATAGATATTTTTATAATGATATAGTAAAATTAAATTAACTTACAAATTTTTTAAGAAGTTTTCATGCATTGATAAAAGGGAAAATTGTAAAAAATGCCACTCTATAATATGCCAATTATCAATGTCACCCCTAAATTATGAGTGATATAAATGTTGCCCCTCAATTATCAGAACGGTGCACATATAGCCCCTCTCGTAACGGACATGTTGTGAGAGCGTCTGACTTTTCTCTTGCTTGCCACGTTAATAAGCAAACAATTATGTTTAAAAGATGAGCATTTCTCAACATTTTCGATGTGGAATAAAAATTATCCCACATCATTTACAAAGGGAAGCCACTAGCTCCACTTTGTCTTCTTCATTTTTTTTTTTTTTAATATTTTAAATTTCAATTTTATTTGGTATACATTTTTGTTTTGATTATTCTCAAAATATAGTTTTGTTTTGATTATTATTATTGTATAATAATAATAATAATAGCCTAGAGGAGTTGATATACAAAAAGTAATGCCCCCACCTCTTCATCATAAAAGGGGCAGACATCACTTCACTACTTGAGGAATAACATGGCGTGTACATACATAACTGCAAATACTTTTATCGAAACTCACTACATTGCTAGGGCTTTGTGATCTGATCTTGGAACAAAACTAGAGGTTGGAGTTCTGCTGCAAGTTAAGACTTCAGAACTGATAATCTGCTTTAGTATTCCAAATCATTATAATGACTTGTAGCCAACCAAAGCCATGTACAAACCAAGCATTATCTCTGCCAGCTGCAGATCCGCCAAAAGGTGGTATTGGGTTCAAGAAAGATTAGCTTATGTCATCATGAACTTGGGAACACCTAATGCCCCAAAACGATCTAGGCTTCAGTTTCTTATTTGTAGCGGTAAAAAGCCACCCCATCTGAGCTCCACAAGTAACACATTCTGCAATAGACCAGGCATACCTACAAGAATATCACCCTCTATCAGAACATGATACTAACATCTTGCCCCCTTCAATTCTACATTTCAAACATCCAAAAATGCATCTGACGCAAAGACATCCAAAAATAAAGACTATTTTTTTCCACAAGCAATTAAGTGATACTAAAGATTGATACGGAGTATTTGTTAAGCTCAAATTTCTTAGAGCTTTTACTTGCCACAAGCCACACTAGTAGTGTAAAAATAGGCCTGCTAACTTGCTAAGCATATTAATACTTCAGCAACAACTACAAAAGACTGCCTTCAAACTCTGAATGAGGGACAGACAGAGAAAGAGAGAAAATTACTATGGAACCAAATTAAAACCATACCCAGGAAACCAGCTGTATTCCTTCTCTGGATTTCCAATGACTGCTAACCCATTTGCTTTAAGCAGGGTCATTATCTCATGCACAAAACCATGTGGATTCACATAAGCACCAAGAGGACCTTCTCCAGACATTACCAACATCTCACTTCGCCTAGCAATCAGAGTCTACAAGGAATGAATAAAGATTAGCCACACACACAAGAAAACATAACATTGCAATAAAAACCATTTCTTACCAAACAAGTCTTGCACTGTACACGATCAAACTTCTCGAGTAATTCAATTTCTAGTCGCAACCTATAGGAAATTCCATCAATATCCAGAAGCTCCTGCCTTGTTGATTCTGATACAGGAATCTTACTGGCAATATGAAATGACAGAAGATCTGGCTTCATCACAAACGCATCCATATTTGGTGCCTTGACAATCTGTTTCCACCGATCTACAAATTACAGCTCTAGCAGATTACCAGTCAAATTCCAAGTAATCCATATAATCCAAGTTATTCAAAATATTTATGTTCCAACTAGAATCCAAGGAAATGTGTGGAAAATCAGCCAATGAAATGGAATGCAGACATAATATTGTTAAGAGATGTTACCAAAGTATAAAATATAAAGATTTGACAGGAACTATCTAGTATCTACTGCCAAAGCACTCAGTGAACAGGAATTACTAACATATCAAAGTGAAGCAATTATGGCAGAGTAAATCAAAGATTTTTCAGTGTCTAGACTGTTCTACCTTAATCATGACATGCATAGGCAACACTTTAACATCTATTGTCTAGACTAAATGAAGGTGTTGAAATGAATATCAAACAGAAGCCTTCATACAACTTTCCCCTATCAAGAAGAACTAATAAGAGCCAAAATTAAGAAATCATCACTAGAAAATTCAATCACCTAATGAAGCTAAATCATAAATCAGGGATTCAAAAAAATAATAATAATAATAAAAATGATGAACAAGTAAAAAATTGTTGTAGAAGTGAAAAGAAGGCCTCACAACCTGCTGCCCTCTGAGCAAGAGCATATGAATCATACATCCGATAAACCCAGTTGGGCCAGAATGCCCTTGGGACTTCACGCATCTGGCTAATTACATGCTTTCTCGATCCATTGCCTTTACAAGATGGCATATCAGAAGCAGATCCTTCCCCAATTCCCTGGCTAGAATCAATAGACTTTTTGTTGCGTTTTGTGTGCAAAGACCCTACAAAATCATGTAAGTGGTATCTTCCAGATTGGACCTCTAGCCCTTGATCAAGGGTCTCATCATCACTGCTTGTTGACTCATCAATCATATTATCACCAATTATAGAAACAATAGCAGACTGGTGGAGTCTTTTCTCTCCGAGCGATAATTCACTTTCAAAACTTTCCTCTGACATCTCATCTGAATCATTCCCATTTCCATACTCATAATGCTTAGTTAGAGAATTATTTAATGACTGTGTCTGTAAAGGCACGTCAGCCCAGGCATGCAATCTTCTCAATGGTGTCAATCTCCCAACAGCCTCTCGGGGAGTCCTTAATGGAACATCTTCTTGGATGATTTGAATCTCTCCGCAAGGCTATTAGAAGAATAGTTAATCAAATAAGTTCAGTAAGAGAACAACAAATAGAGAAAAGAAAGAAAATTCTTTGTATTTCACATTAAAAAAGTTCTTACTGCTCCATCAGCATCCATCCAACGGCGTCTCAGACGAAAGCGTTGCTGACCACGGGTAACAACATTCACTGAACCATCTTCCAACCGCCGATATTGCCGAATCTAAAGCATCATAAATAATTAAGTATGTGAGAACACAAATAAGAAATTACAAACAAAAAAGCAAAAAAAAAAAAAAAAAAAAAAAAAACAAAACAAAACAAACAAACAAAACAAAACAAAAAAAAACAAAAACAAAAAAACAAAAAAAAAAACAAAACAAAACAAACAAAACAAAACAAAACCAAAAAAAAATACTAATCATAAGATATACCACTTCCATATTTAAATGTAGATATATTAACCATATTAAGACTATCAGTAACTCCATAACCATATTAGATAAGCAACAACCCAATCAGTAACTCTTAGTTTAGTTCATTAAAATTGTACAAATTTGATAAGCAACATGCAGTACCTCAGCAGTTGTCCCAGTCGTTGCAAACTTTATCCTCCTATTATGAGGATCCCTGTGAACTCGAATCTGAAAGCATTTTCCATCAAGCCAACTTAAAAGTGCAGTTCAACAAAATCTTTACAAAAAGAAATGAAACAGAAATTCCAAAAGTATACTTACGACACCAATAGTATAATGATCATTAGTCCGTTGCAATGCTTTTTCAACAGCAGCTATAAAATTAGACTGAATAACTCGCAAAGGAAGTGTAGCCTCAGGGAATAAAACAACTCCTGAAGAAATAAAATAAATAACAAAGGAAATTTAAAAACAGAAAGAAAAGAGGTTACTCATTGCAACTTTGAAGCTATGTATGCTTGTTGCATAGCTACTCCAAAAAGTAGAAGCTGGTCCACACAATAAATAAACAAAAAGGCTATTAAGATAGAGTAGAGGAAATGTATCTTATTCAAGAAACACCAAACTAAGGCTTTTTTAGAAAAACCCTGTTTCTGGATAAGCCATCAGCTGGGCTAAACACCTACAATATGCTTACTTAGCAATATGAGTATATAACCATATCATTAGTACATGCTGGCAGAAACAGAATGGCATCCTTTTGCCCTTCTATTTTGATGCCTTTATTTATTCTCAATAGGTAAATAAATAAATAAATAAATAAATAAATATATATATATATATATATATATATATATATATATATATATATATATATATATATATATATATGCATCAAGGTGCAACAAAATGTAAACCTCTTTCTGCAAACATGCTAGCTTTTATTGCCGAAATCAAAGCCTAGGATCGTGCTTGTGCTATGTTATTTACTCATTACCAACTATGGTTGGATGTACGCATGTTTAGTGCATTTTTCTATTTCCTTTTTCCATAGTTTTCTCATTTTTCTTTTTCCATTAGAAAAATGATAGAAAAAAACAAAAAACGTGTTTATCAGCATTCAAATGAGGGAGGAAATACAAAGTTATTTAATCCTATATGTTTATCGATTTTTTTTTCTTCATTTAAACCTACAAATAATGCTAGTGGTAGGTGACAATAATATCAAGTAGTGTGGTAATGTTTGTGCATTGGATATAGTTGGATATATCTAAATTTTATTTCGAATATTCAAATTTTTAGTGCTATTTTTTGAATTTTAATTTTGACAATACTATCCACGGACGACAACAGATAAATTAATACCGGGTGCCTAACTTCCAAAACCCTAATAGGACGGGTTTGAAACAAGTTTAGGTAGTAGTGAAATCCTTGTATCCGATTGTTGTGTCATTGTGTGTGTGTGTGTGCGTGCATGCGTATAATAGGTTTTGCGATGATTTCGAGTATTATATGTGTAGTGTCAATTGGGTTTGGAAAAGGTACATGTAATATTCACTCGTATTTGGGTAGTTCTAAATGTATTCAGATTCACATTTAAAAATGACAAAATAGATGATTACCTACCTATTGCCATCCCTAATAATATGGATAGAGTGAAAACGAAAGAGAATACTATATGTAGTAATAGTAGTGAATATGTAGATAGTATGAATAGTGGTGGTGATGGATGAAATAGATATAGGAGGTGATAGGGTAGGTAGCTGGTGATAGAGGTATATAGATTGGTGGTAGTTGGGTAGATGATATGAGTAGATAGATAACTAGATAAGTGAAATGGAAGTTTCTATGTAATAAAAATAGCAATTATAGATAAAGATATGTGTTTTTTTGTATTTGGGAAAATCTGGAAAAAAAAAAAAAAAAAAAAAAAAAACTGTTTTAAATCCTTTTTAAAATTGGAAAAATGGAAAACCAGTTTCCTGTTTTCTATTTTCTATTTTTGTTTTCCATTTATCTAGAAAATGGAAAAAATTTCCAGAAACTAAATGCACCGAACTGTTCTTAGAATAACTACTAAAAATAAACAGAAAGCACCCATATGTTAAAGCAGGTTATAGTGGAGAGAATAAACTTCAACACTCATGCTTTAAAAGTTCTGGATGAGCTCAATGACTTAAAACAAAACAGTCTTGTATGTTTGCATCACTATGACTTGTCATTCATATAGAAAAATAGAAGATGAAATAGCCCAGGATACGTAAGCACTGATACTATGTTAAAATTGAGAGATTGAAAGGTCTAGCAGGTGGCGAATAGCTACCCCGCTAGTTAGGCTGAAGCAAAATATGTGAGAAAACAAAGAAAGAGAGAGAATAGAAAACAATATATTATAATGAAAGAATTACAATAGATTGCCTCTTTGATTAGTCTATGTCTTGAACTGTATAAAGATAAACCAATCCTACTAGGAATAGGAAACTAAGGCTAACATTATCCCTGCAAATCTCTCTCACTCTCAAAAATGGTCCCACTTCCACATCATATAATTTGCAAATCATTTACTATTCACACTACATCCCTGCAAATCTAATCTATTTTTAAAAGTAGACCCCAATATCACATCATTTTAAAACATAAATAAATAAGTAAATAAAAGAAAAAGAAAAAAAAAAAAAAAAAAACAAACAAAAGTACATAAATAAAATAAAAATTTAAAAAAAAAAAAAAAAAGGTACAAAGCAGCTGGAGCAGCTTTAGGCATGACCACGGTTCCGGTTGGAACCGCCGGTTCTAACCGTAATTACTTTTTTTTTTAATTAATGTTTTCAGGCTTCAGGGAGTTCAGGCGCTGAGTTTTTAAATTATTTTTAAAAAAATGATTTTGTTCAAAGGCCAAAGCAAATGTCACATTTGCTTTGGCCTTTGAACCGTGACATTTGAAATGTCACGGAGTCCGTGACACAGACTCACCTTTTGAGTCTTGTCAACTTTGACAAGACTCAAAGGTGTAGACTAGCGCAAAGGCCGGTGCATGACCTGGCTTCTGCGCCAGTCTACAGCCTAGGTGGCATTGGCGCAGGCCACTTATGACATGCCTATATATATATTTTTTCCGGTTTGGAACCGGAACCGTCCGGTTCCAATATTTTAAAAACCTTAACCGGAACCTATAAGGTTCCAGTTCGGAACCGGAACCGTACGGACGGTTCGGTTTGGATCCGGTTAGTACAGTAACAATTTCAGTTCGAACCGTGGTCACCTCTAGGCAGCTTTGTACGATTGCAAATGGATTGCAAATTTGCAATCCAAATAAGCAATAAAAAGAAAATATAAATGGTATATTATTCCACATCACTTTGCCAATGGGTTCTTTGTAGGGATGTGTTCAGCCTAAGCCCACTCCTACTAATGTTTCCTAATATTCAACACTCTTCCTCTTTCAATTAACCAAATTATGCCAAAATGCTGTCCTTTTTCTTCAGTTTCCCTGCTACTTGTTGATAATCATACCAAATGTGGTATAATGCAGATGTATGGTGAATGTGTTGAAATGCTATATAAAGTTGAGTAAACCAGATATGAATACTCACCTTCAAGATAGAATAAAGGAACAACTATCACAGCTCCGCCATCCAAGAATGATGGCCTGTTATGTGTGTCATCAACATCTGACATATAGAATGTCATAAATAATTGAACAGTTTGAGATGGAACAGAAATATCAACAACAATAAAATAGATAAAAAAAAATAATCCAAGTGTACATACCACCAAGATAAGAATGCAATGCAGCCAAAGAGGTGTCATAATTAAATTCACCAGGTGCAGTTTGTTCCCCCAACCTATGATGAATAGGACCAGCCAAGGATAAGGAAAGAGAATCATAATCAGTTTCCAGCACAATAAAATGAGTTTCAAATAGAACACAAAATAACTCTATAGTGGCGATTGGGCATCCAAAATCAACCCAGATACACTAAATTACTTTAAGCAGAAAAGAACTCTTATGTACCCTCCATAGAATATAAACCAGTCAGAAAACCTAATCCAAATAGCACTCTGCTTTCCTCAGCTAACCAAGCAAAGAAATTCCTGTTTTCCTCACACCTGCTATAACCAAGCAAATCAGAACTATCTCATTAACGGTTCCTTTTCTTCCTTGTTTGATACTTAAATTTAAGAGCAGAATTGAGTGTACAAAGCTCAAGCAAACCCTAAAACTTTTAAACCATTTCTATTCAAATTTCCTACCACTCTGAACAACAAAGTTTCAAACCCAGACCTACGTTGGCCAGTCCCAAAAACTGCATAGTACTCGAGCTAGAAGCGATGCAAACTCAATCGCCGAAACAAAAACCCTAGGTGATTCCGTGTATGAACATCAAACTGATACTACACTACGATAACAACGAAATGTAACGGAATATAAATACAATCCGAAATAAATTAGATTATTACGCGGTATCGCCATCCTCGGATGATTCGTCATCGACTTCCTCTACCTGCAACTCCTCGGACTCGAGCTGGCGAATCTGTTCGATTTGGTACCTTTCTCGTTCCAGAATTCTCTCGTCGTCCATCGTCTTCTCTCACTCACTTACATTTGAAGTCGTTTTATGTGTGCACACTGCAGATATATATGCAACTCCACCGTTTATACTCGGTTATATATGCAACCCTGACGGCTCCAGCAGAAAACTCCCGGAAAATGGATTTATTAATTCATTTTAGCACTTCAAACTTTAATGTTTGTTTGTAGTTGACAAAAGAGCCCCTCACTCTGATATGTTGATCTACACTGTCTCCATTTTGAGTCATTATTTTTAAATTTGATCTTTATAATCAATTGAGTTATCTATGTGCAGGACCGGTCCTGGGACAAGGGCAGGCTGAGCCCTTGCCCAGAGCCCATGCTTGGGGGGCCCATCCTATCTCTTATATATATATATATAGTATATATGTATTGAATATAAGTAATTTATATACATTTATTTTACATTAAGATGAATTAGCTTGGTTGGTAAGATACTTGAATTTTAACCTCATTTAATCAAAGGCCGGTTATCCAATTCTTCCCTTCACAATTTAGAATTCCTCAACATTTATTTTAATTGATTTTTTGTATTTAATACGGAGTAGTATTTTTAATGTAGTTTTTAAATATATAAATTTTCATATATTTATATTATACATATTCTGAAAATTTTTTATATTAAATATATAAATTTTTATATTAAATTTTTAATGCATTTTTTAAAATTATATATTTTTATATACTTATAGTAAACATATTATGAAAAATTGAATTAATAAAACTTTAATCAACTCATGTTAATGAAACAAGACACATAAAAATAGGTCGGAGGGGGTTATATGATATATTTTAAGATTGAATAAAAAAATTAAAAGATAATTTACTCTGTACCTTTTTATGAATATCTAATCAATGTAATATAGAAGCTTCAATCATGTGTCATTGTATTCAAATTATTCAGTGATTGGTTTAATGATTTGTTGAATATTTTAGATGATGATGGGATTATTTATGCAGTGGCTCTCTTGTATTTCATATGGCGAACGAGAAATGGAGCTGTATGGGAAGCAAAGTTGCCCAGGCCCCAAAACGTGATAGCAATGGCGTTGTCATCCGTCAATGCATGGAAAGAGGCACATCCCGCTCGAAGAAGTCCGCAAGCCATCACCACGATGCCGGCTGCTATTTTACCGCCAGTTGCGGCAGTCTACTGCCCGAGGGAAGGCGCAGCAATTATGGGAGAAGGGGAGGCCGAAACACTGCCATTATCACGGGAATTTTCAGCAACCGTCCAACATAATACTATGCAGAACGGGAGGAATCAATGTTATTTCGATGCGACGTACAATCCAACAACAAACAAGGCAGCAATGGGGGCTATTATATTGGATTCACGAGGATGCTATGTGTCGGCGATGACCACCCCTATCATACACTGTTTTTCGCCCTTAATGGCGGAGGCTTTCGCATGCAAAGAAGCTTTGTCATGGCTCAGACACCGAGAAGAAACAGATATAGACCTCTACACAGATTGTTTGGTGCTCCAACAATATCTTTCGTCTATAACACACTCATTGCGCTCTTATTTAGGCTATGCCATTGATAGTTGCAAAACTAGTATGGCATCTTTTGATTACTGCTTAATTCATTATGTTCCTAGACTAGACAATTATTTAGCGCATACATTAGCTTCTTCTGCAACTAATCACCTATCTAGTATGTACGCGGACTTAGACTCGCCAGACTCTATTTCAGCATATTTCGAATAAATGCCGCACAGGCTCTTTTCAAAAAAAAAAAGTATTCAAATTATTCTAAAAAAGTTTGAAATTTATATATTTAAAAGAAAAAGTATTTATAAAAATCATATAAATAATATAGAAGATGTGTGATTTATAATATGCTTTATGTTCAAATTATTTTATCTAGATAATTATGTTTCATATCTTTTTGCATTTTGTTATTGCGTTTTTACATATTTTAATTTCTTGCTCCTAGTCAAAAAAAAATAAAATAAAAGATTTTTAGCTTCACATATGTTTGTAATTATTACTTTATAAATTTTTTAATAATAATTAATTTATTATTTATTATGATAACAATGTTATTGTTTATAAGTTTACTCGATTTTAAATTATTTATTCATTTTTATAAATTATAATATTATTTATTTATGATAACACTTATACGATTATTTATTATTTTGCATTAAGGAAAGCACCTAGAATTTTTTTCATGATTATTGTTGTGTATGTAAAATTGTTAAAAACTTGTTAATCTTATTTAAAGTTATTGATATTAATAATTTTTTCTTTATTTAATTTAAATTTTAAGCATGAAATATATATTAACAGGGGCGCATTTATTTTATCATGCCCTGGGCCTATAAAATGATAGGACCGGCCCTGTCTATGTGGGCATGTTTGTTTCTAGTGACATTGTGTGAGTTTGATCCCAATTATGAATATAAAAGATTTGGATTTTTTTTGTTGGTGTATTCAAGGTTTTCACCATTGGACACTGTGACTAATCATTTGAATTGTATGCACTTCTTTTGGGGGCAAATTATTGTATGGATCATAAATAATAAGTACATTTTTAATATATTAAAAGTACATTATTTTGATATTGAAAGTACATTATTTTTGTACTTCATACATTATATAAAATAATGTAGCCTTAATATATACAAAATGTACTTTCAAAAAATGTACCTACATAAATAATGTACTTTTAGTATATTAAAATGTACTTTTTATTTATGGTCCACACAATAATGATTATCTTTTGGGTGAAACAACTAGCCTGGAATTAACTTTTATTCAAAAATAGACTTCATACAATTTTGTATTGAATTTCGAAATTTGATGAGCTCGCTTTACTTCATAATGGGCTTGGGACTAGTCACTAGTGGACCAATCGTTATGTTGTGCATCCTTGTGCACCATGTATGGTGCATACGGATGCAAAAACGACGTCGACTTAAAAAAAAAAATCAGAATTGCATAACTACAGATCCATAATTTCATAACTATACATCCAGAATTGCATAACTACACATCCAAAACTTCATTACTATACATCCAGAATTGCATAACTACACATCCATAACTTCATAACTATAAATCCAAAATTGCATAACTTCATAACTACACATTCAGAATTGCATAACTACACATCCATAATTTCATAACTATAAATCCAGAATTGCATAACTATACATCCATAATTTCATAACTATACATTCAGAAATTATGCACAACATAATGTTGTTGACGGGAATCAAAATTGAATTTTTCTTTTACGTTGGACGCGCGTTTTTAGTCAAAACGACGTCATTTTTGCATCTGTATACACCACGCATGGTGCACACAGATGCACAACATAATTTGCTATTAAAAAAAATACTCCGTAAATATTTAACCCCAAAATAATGGTTAATTGGGTAGATTATGATTTTTGTACTTAAAGATCGGCAAATTATGTTGTGCATCCTGTGCACCATGCATGGTGCACAAGGATTCAAAAACGACGTCGTTTTACTTAAATAAAAAAAATCATTTTCGGTTGCTGTTAGTTACATAAACATATGTTCATAATTTTATAATTTCACATTCTGGATTTATAGTTATGAACTTATGGATGTGTATTTATGCAATTCTGGATTTATAGTTATGAAGTTATGGATGTGTAGTTATGCAATTCTGAATGTATAATTATGGATGTTTAGTTATGCATGCAATTCTGAATGTATAGTTATGAAGTTATGGGTGTTTAGTTATGTAATTCTGGATTTATAGTTATTGATAAGTACGATTTATATATTTAATTTAGATTAGTTTTTATAATAAATTACTTTTATTTATTTAGTATTTTATTTATTTTAAACTTTATTTTATATTTTGTACTAATATAATAATTATGTGAATAATTAGGCTTAATAAATATTTTTGAACTATTAAGATTGTTCATAATAAATAAGAGTTAGGCTTTGTTGCTTTATTTATTTGGCCCAAAACAATGATTTAATTATTTTAAAAGTTATAAAGCCCAAGTTCCATTTAACATTAATTTACCCATTCTTTTTTCCATTTGCAGGCTTGCAACTCTGTCCGTGATTTTACGCAAGGATTAGAGCAGCGGCTTCAGTCGGCGACTTCAAAGGAGATTCGAGCGATTCTCGTGCGACCGCAACGACACGAACGGCTTCTACGACTGCTGCAAAGAAGGCTTCCACGAACTGCTGCAACGTACGCCGCAAAGATTTCATCTACGACAACTATGTGCGGACAAATTCAATTGAAGCCAAGAGTAATTGGAGCCTACTTTGTTAAATTTCTCTGGTTAGGAAAATAAATAATATTTATTTTTTAGATTTTATATGGTTTGATATATGAATTTAATTTGTGGATGTTAGTGAAATTAGGGTTATTTTGAGCTGATTGAGGAGCCTGAACTAGTATAAATAGGGCTGAATTCTTCAGTAGAGGACAATCAGTTTTCAGTCAGTTTTCAATCAGAGTTCATTCAGTTTTAGAACAACTTTATTTCTCTGTAAACATTTGGTTATGATGTTCTGCTAAGTTTATTTTCCAACTCAAGAATAATAGAAGTTTTGGTTCCTCTAGAATTGTGAGATCTAATTTGATTTTCTTTTATGTTATATTATTTATATATCTTCTATTATCTTGATATTTTTGATTAATTGTACAAAAAGGATCCGTTGTTCAATTTTCATTCCAGTAAATTTCCATTTAGAATTCATGAATCCGTAATTGTTTAAGTATTCTAAACCTTAGTGGTAAAATAACATAGTTGATTATAAATTAGATTTTCAATCTTATGTTATGGAGATGTATAATCTAGTTTAAATGGACCGAGCTTGCGAGTCTGTTGGCTAGAATTGGTAATTTTTCTAATTTTTAATGCTGGTAGTTAATTAAATCCTAAGAGTTTGTTTAGGGTTGTTAATTATCTAGGGAAGTAATTGAAGAGCCTGTTTTGATTACTGATAAACTAAGGAGAGATAGGTTGTTAGAGCTTGCTAATAATCATAACCAGTTTGGTGTAGGATAAAAGGATTTACACTTTATTTCAATGATCACTTCTTTGAATCAATTCTGATATTATGTCTTGGGTTGGATACTAGTTTTATATTGATTCATTTTATTTGATACTTAATATTCTTCGCCATTTTATTATTGCATTTTGA